ATGTCAGATCATGGTATAATCAGATCAATTTTGAAACATATTACATTCACACTCCAGTGATAGCAACCATTTCTATCAAAATGTGGCAAAAGCCGGAGTGGTAACTTAATTTTGTAGTTGTCAAATGTGCTTTATATAACATTTGATTAAGAGTCCAAGAAATAGGAGTCCTACTCGATTATTCAGTCCAATGGAAAACTGTTTGTGGGATAGATTTGATTTACAAAGAACACAAAGTAGACGTTTTAAGAACCAATAAGCTAGCAAATATTGTCTCTTTGTTTCAATGACAAGGAAGAATTAAAACATCTGAAATAGTGTCCGAATGTGGTTGAGACATACATTTTCCCCTGCAGTTGATATGTCATTCTCTGAGTGGTCTCTTCATCCTCTTATCTCTGAATTCCTCTCACACCCACCACAGCAATCTGGCCCATGAGTTCAGATTGATGGGATTTTGGAAAGGTGTATGAGGTTGCAGAGGAAGCAGAGTGGGGGAGGACTGGACTCAATCTGCAGATTAACTGCAGATTGGTGTTTATTTTTTATTTTTACAAAATCGGCACTTTTTGCTCCAGATTAAACTCTGACCACTTCATAAGGGTAGGGCTCTTGAGGGATTGTAGCTAAATGTATCCTGTGGAGAGACATTGGTAGCATGAATATGTATATATATATATTTATTTCTCTAAAAAGAGTAAGAAACATTTGTTTTAAAGGTGATATCATGAATTTTGTAACTAGTTTTGTATGGTTTCTAGCATGTGTTACTAAGTGCACCCTGGATGTCTGAGTGATTATAGATTTATCCATATCCAAAACTGGAGACTAGATTAACAAACGTCTATAAAGATCGAAGCGCGCCTCTGTGTCTAATCACACTTCAAAGTCCAAACAGTATTTGTAGATTACATTTACTTTTCCGAAGCAGCTTATCTGCAACACAGTGTGTTTTCAGTTCCACGGCTGCTCTCTTGACAGGTTCGGTCTCTTCTAATTCCCACCTCTCATTCCCTCTAGCCAGCACAAATTGCTGGGCTATGATGCAATGCGTCATTTCTGCTAGTTTAAGTTTCCCAGCCAATCAGAGCGCAGCAGTAGGAGGGTACCCAGTCAGCTCATGCTTGTAAACCGCTCAGGCTGTAGGAGGGCCTTTCAATTTATTTCCAGTGTATCTCTGTGGGTATTTCACATGTGAAAAAAAGAGAAAAGAAAAAGAAGAAGTGGTCAGCTGGATCGGGTGTGACGTGTGAGTCAGGGTGTGTGCTGGTTCTTCAGGACAACAAACTGAGCCGGCATGAAGTCTCTGAAACTGATGTTCTCCTCTCCGCTGACAGTAGGTATTGTTTCTGTCAACCCGGTCTGTGCTTGGCTTTGTGCGCATGCCTGTGTGCATGTGTGGCTTCAGAGTATCAGTTTAGCTGTCTGCACGAATGAGAGGAGAGAGTTTGTGTGTTTGTACAGGCCGTCAGGTGCCACACAGTGAGCCGAAAACACAGGGAAGAATATGCTTACTGTATTTACTCTGTCTCTTTGTCCTTTTCCTCTGCCCTGTTGTTGAACCAAGAGGTCAACATTTCATTTCCTGTTTTGCCCACTGAATTTTTTCCAACTCATGCCCATGTATGTGCTAGACAATACACAATGAAAGGTACGCAGAAGTTGTGAGGATCCTATTGTGTTGTAAAGTAAAAGCAGAGCTTTCAGTTCTGAATGAGAAAATGAGCCACATTTGTATTCTGTAAAGCCTACAGTGAATACAAGCATTGTGTGCCTGACTTAGCCTCCTGCCACACATAAGCCTTCTGTACGCACGCACTTTGACGCACATACAAACAAACACACAAACAAACAATTTGTTACACACACAAATGCTGTCATCCTGAGAGGTTTTGGGGAATTACCCTGACTAAACTCTATAGTAACACTCCTGCTCTCATTACTGTGTATTACGACAGGGGGAATTAAAACACATTTCATCTTTGTGGTATTAGATGAAGGCTCCCTGCTAAATGGATTCTTTCATAAATACATAATTTTCTAAGCTTTCTGCAGTCCTTCCTCGGCTTGGCTTCATCCCGTCCAGCTGTCTCTGACTGCTGAGCTTAAATTCAAATCAGCATGCCTTCGCTCACCATAAAGCCTATCAGTCAAATGGTCATGGTTACTTTACAGAATCAAAACTAAGAATCGTGGCCTACTTAGAAGTTCAAGTGAACATGAAACATGTTGGAATGTGTCAAAACACAGTCTGTCGATTACACAGAACTGTGAGAGAGCACAGCTGTCTGCTCGTCTTCATGCGTGAGAAACATGTTTGTTTTGTGTCCATTTCAAGAAATTCCAGAGTATTAGAAAATGCTCATGGTTCAAGTTTAACCTTACATTTAGGTACAACTTTTCTAAAGCATTTTATGAACAAGTTGAAAGTAAAATACTGAATGGCCTATTTTACAGAATAACAGTGCCCCGAGCCTTCAGTTAGGACATGATTAAAGAACATTTGTAACTTTGATGAGGATTCTTACAACCTTGTAGCACTTCGATATGAAATGTGAAAGCTGAAACCTTTTTTGTGAATAGTGCAAAAACACAGCCTTTCTTAGGTCTCTGCTGAGAAAAGCCCTTGGTTTTGGCTTTTCTTAAGTTACCTGCGTGTTTTTTGGTGACACGCTTCTGCTGATATCCTGGCTGTAATCTAAACTCTCACCCATTTCTTGAGATTCAGATTACTTCTTTATATTGATCATCACCTATCCTGACTAGGATCTAGACACCAGTTTCAGGAACAATGTGATGTAATGTGATGATGACATCACCTTTTTTGACCGAGGACAAAATGAGGTGAAGCTCAGTGTCCTGATTCAACCGCATACTGGTGTCATATAAGTAATTTGTTTTTGGAGGAGTTATTCTCATGGTGATGATAAAAGACTGTTTTGTCTTTTATGAAGAAATGGAATCTGGATGTCCAGTCAGTCCTAAATGGACTAGGAGTTCTGCACTTGCTCATTTGTAAGATTCTTCCATCTCCATAAGGGAACACAGCGGACATTGGCCTGCTGGTTACCTTTTTGATCAAAGTTGCCGTTCTGTGATGTAACTGTTTTATTTGACATGCAGATTCCAAAAGGTCTGGTTCCATATTTTTTACATTTTAGAAACATGGCAGGTTCTATGTTTTGGAGCACAATAAGATATGTCCGTATGCCACCTTAAGGTGGGTCAGAAACCATAAAAAATGAGGACAATTTCAAAGTCTCAAAATGTTCAATGGAATGTATGTTTGAAAGCTTCATCATACCTAAAAAAGAACATCAGCAATTTACAAATGGGCTCTAGTTGCAGATAAGTGGTCTTATTTTAGTGTTGCTTTCATTACCTCCTTGCCTACCCACTGACACATGTAATGTATCTAAATTTAGTCTGTTATATCTACTCTAGTACAGAGAGGAAGGCAGACAAGAGCAAGAACTGTACTGAAATATAGAAATGTATCTTTTCCCTCTCTTAAGCATCTACTGAGAAACATCCAAGCTCTCCTTCTATCAGATTCCAAAAGAGGCAACTGGGTTATATTTCTTAAGACCTTGGATTTAATCTATCTGAAACTTTAGAAAATGCCCAGTAACGGCATGTTTCTTCTTTTTTTAAAACATTTTCATCATGGTGTTGCAGATGAACTGCCCCTGCTTCCTGCACTATACTTTTCCAAATTATTTGCTTTTTTGGTACACCTAAGAGAGTCCATCAGCAGAACGCAATGGGGCGGTGGCCTCTTCAACTTCTAGCAGCAGAGCAGTTTCTTTCTCCAAACAGAACAAAGCATATTTGGATTCAAACAAAGCCTAAGCTACTTACCACTAAACACAGAAACCTCTGTCCGTCCCCAACCAGAGTGGGAATGCGACATGTCGTTAGCTTGGTTTACAGGGTAAGACATGACCTTTACACTCCTGCTATAAAGATTATATGTCAGTGGATCCTCTCTGTGAGTACTGGTGAGATGCAGCTTGACTCCTAATCACTGACTGCATGTTTGTGTTTGTATCGGTGTGTGTGGTTAACAACAGACAGTTGGACATGAGCAGGGATGGGACATAAGGGATTGAGAGCTGTATTAGTCCCAGCAGTGACAGATGTGCTGACAGGAAGGGAGACTGGTGGGGGATGATGATTGTTCGTGCGTTGGTCTTCGTTTGAATGCACCATTGCGTTTGTGCTTTTCGTTGTAAGGCTCATATCTATGCTGCATATTTTAAGGCATGTTTGTTTCCGACAAAAACTGGTTTTTGCTCATCTCTGTATTTGAGTTCGCAATTGAGCACCTGTTTGTCTGGCACATGAATGAAACATGTGGTGACCTACTGAGGGGATATGGATGGTGAATTAGAATGCCAGTTAGCAACCCAATATAAAGGTGGACATGGAAGGGAAGCAGTGACACTGACAACTTGAGTTGAACTTAGCCTTTTTTTCCCCATTGACCAGGTTGCATCATAATTGTTACATTTTGGCCGTTTTCGAAATCATGAATGTGGATGTGGGCAATGCTTTTCGTTGCTCGGCAGAATATCCAGTACAGCAGCTGGGTTTTGAAGGCCACACCAGTTGCATCATATCAAGTGTGTGCATTTTAACCTGCCTTTCTCTGGTTTACTAAGATGTGACTGTATAGCTGCCTCCACTGAACATACATACAGGACTTTTGCAAGCCTGTCCCTGGAGTCCCTTAGCAATAATTAGACTGGTATTAACCTAGAAAAAGCAGCATAACAATGAGCTTGCTTTTGTACTGATCAAGGAATTAGACAGCTTTGTTAACACTGGTTCCTGGTACCTCATAAAATAAGTTTGTTGAACGGTAGCTGCCTTAAAAGTGACAGTATGAAAAGCTTAGTCTTGATGGGAATATGGGAATGTCATATACAGACTTTATTTCCTCATGATTGTTTTTTGTCTTGTTTTTCTTGCAGGTTGACTACTGTCATTGCCTTTGAATGTCCTCTGGGATGGCAAAACGGGAGGCCGAGAGCACCAGCCCTGTGGTGCGTCAGATAGACAAGCAGTTCCTGGTCTGTAGCATCTGTTTGGATCACTACTGCAACCCCAAGGTGCTGCCCTGTCTGCACACCTTCTGTGAAAGGTAACCAGCCTTGTTTGCCCTGCTCCACTAGTGAAAACTCTAAAACTAGACACACGCTAGTGTCTGTTCACTGACTCTTTTAGATTGTTTGTTAATTTCTTAGAAAAATGTACCACCTTATTAATGTAGCATGTAGCTGCTGCTCTAACTGTTTAATTATTGTCATATTGAGCTATATCCATGCAGAGGCACCTCATCTGTGCACACCCCTAAACACAATTAAACAGCTCAGAATGCTCCTCCTCAGGAATAAATGCATTCCTGTGGTGCAGAGACCGTCAACCGGCTCCAGTCTGAGAAAAGGCTCATTGTTGGGACACACAATTACAAAGGCTCTATCTACAGTTCGTCGAGAAAGACGACACCCCCTTAGGCAATATTACTGGAGCCTTTTTGTGCAGAGCAGTGGAGACTTCTAGGAGGATTGTCGTGGGTCAAGTTTGGAGGATGGAGATTAAAGTAGGGACGTGTTGTACAAAAGAAGATTTTGTTTCAAACCAGTTTTCTTCTAAAAGAATAAAATATAAATACAAAGGAGTTTTAAACCGGTAGACAAAGTGAGCTCAGTCTGATTTCCATGCTGTCTTAGAGGCATTCGACCAACACAGAGCAACTTTAATCCCCGGTTCAGCTGGATGGTAGCTGATGTGGAGTCCTGCTGAGGTGAACAGATTTTTGTCACGAGCCTTCTGTGTTGTTGCCAGACAGAAGATTTTTGGGGTTTTTTATTCAGTGGAGTTAAGGGTGTGGTGCAAAGGTTGGTTGGTCTCATGATATCTGTCAGATTGTTTTTTTTTTATTATTGTTTTCAAACTACATTAGCAATAGTAAACTGCTTACTAATTGTGTCATAAACCCAATACAATAGCGTTGGAGTACTTTACAAACAATCTATAGTCCGTGTCTGTTCAATGGAGGCTTGACATTAAGACACATTTGAGGGTTCCTACAATTTTGACCATAAAATCAATAATCAGGTCTTAAAACAACCAGCTGCTGGATGCCAGGAGCTAAGTGTGATGTGCATGCTGACGGCTGAACTGAATATTGACAACTTTTCAGTTTGAGCTTTGAAGTGTCTCGAGGGGATGCAATCGAGTGGATCGCAGTGGGAGGCGTGTGTGTGGCTAGTTTTGATCTGAAGGCAAAGATTAAATCTGCACAGACATGTGCAGAAAATGTCAAATATACTCAATATATTTTATATGTAATATATTCAACATCTTGGTGTCTCAGCTTCTCTGGTGTGCCCTGTTGACGCTGTCAGCTTTTTTTCTACCTGTGGCTGTGTACTAAATATTCTTAATTATGGTGATAAGGTGACAGTTACTGTCTCCAGCACCCTTGTCTCCTTGTCTCTGCAGTAATTATGAGCTCTACATCAAGGAGAATTATCTGTAATGATTGCTCTGATACATTTATGCTGTGTCCTGTGACTTCCTCCCTCCAGTTGTCTCCAGAATTACATTCCTCCTGAGTCCCTGACGCTCTCGTGTCCAGTGTGTCGGCAGACATCCATTCTTCCAGAGAAAGGAGTGTGTGCTTTACAGAACAACTTCTTCATCACTAATCTAATGGAGGTTGGGCTCTCATTTCCGTTTTCATTACAGAAATTATATATCTGAAACGGAATATTAATACGTACCGCATGAAACAAAAAAGTTTGATTAGATAAATAAATTGACGCCTACAAAAACGAAACACTTTGTGTGTAATCTTTTCATGCTGTTTTTTGCAAGAGCCCCTTTTGTGAGCAGGAGAGAGTACATTCTTGTAGACTGAGGTCATTCTGAACGCCAACTGCTTTGTCGGGTATTTCAGTGGATTTGTTAGCAACTTTTCCTTTAGGTAACAACAATGACTACTATCTTTAGGCTAAATTATTAAAAAAAGGGTCCCAAAAGGCAAGTTTCAGTCCAAATGTTTATGTCCTGAATAGAATGAAGAAAATTGCTTAATGTTTAAAAAGACATGACGAATAAATTACACATTTCTATGCAACAATGAATATGAGAAAACGCATGTTCAGCAAATGCATTTAAAAAAAAAAGAAAAAGAGGAAACACAATAAAGATGCTGTGTCTTTACCAGGTCCTCCAACGTGAGCCAGAGTGCTCCCGGCCAGAGGCCTGCAGCGTTTTGGAGTCGGTCAGTGCGGCAGCAGCAGGGAAGCCCCTGTGCTGTCCAAACCACGAGGGAAAGGTGAGAAACCCTTTTTCATATCACGGCTTAGTCACTCCCTCTTTGAAATATACTTACCCATCTTATTCTGGCCACAATTATGAATATTGACCATCATTTTATTTTTTGGTTCTGTTTATGGCACTCAGTAAGACACAGTGAGTCAGTTTGTCTCCCTCTGCAGGTGATGGAGTTTTATTGCGAGTCATGTGAGACCGCCATGTGTTTGGACTGTACAGAGGGCGAGCACAGGGAGCATGTGACTGTTCCTCTGCGGGATGTGGTGGAACAGCACAAGACTGCGCTCAAGACGCAACTGGAAGCCATACGCAGCAGGTGGGCTCTTCATGACCCGGTGAAGCTTTGATAGGATTTTCTTTTACTCTGGTTTGAGATTTTTAAGCATCACCGTTGATCTGTGCTGTACTGATATTATGTGTTATCATATGTTATGATATGATATGTACATTTGAATCTGGGTTTTTGTTGCCTGTAGTGTCAGTTCTACAGTTTCTCAAAGAATATTTGTTTTTTGCCGGTAGGCTCCCTCAGCTCACAGCAGCCATTGAGCTGGTGAGTGAGATTTCTCGACAGCTGAATGAAAGGAAGTGTGAGGCAGTGGCAGAGATTACCAGCACGTTCGAGGAGCTGGAACGGGTGTTGCATCAGCGCAAGACAGCCCTCATAACAGACCTGGAGAACATCTGCAGCACAAAGCAGAAGGTGAGTTGTGTTTCACACAGGCAGTTGCTCTGTTTGTGCATGTGAATTTGAGTGTAAAAAAAAAAACATACAAGGCTGTCAGGTGACCTCACATGATGTATTTCAGTGTGCCAGCACAATATTTTCCTTTTTTTCTGGATGCATTCAATCCATCTTACTTAGTAAACTTTTTTAATTCCAACCACCTCTCCTGCCATTCTTGTTTTCTTGTGTTTGCCCCTCCCCCCCACTTCACTTAACCTGAGCACAGGTCCTACAGGCCCAGCTTTCATCTCTCCTCCAGGGGAAGGAACACATCCAGAGCAGTTGCAACTTCACCGAGCAGGCTCTCAGCCATGGTAATGCGACCGAGGTGAGCTGTCACACTGCTTCCAAATGGGCATTTCCAACATGCCCTTAGGCTCTGCGAATGAAACCAAATGTCAGCACCATCTTTGAAAAAAACAAAAATTCACCAGAAAGCATGTGCTCTGCCCATACAGGTGCTGCTAGTTCAGAAACAGATGAGTGAGCGGGTAACAGCTTTGGCCAGACACGACTTCCCAGAAAAGCCACATCAGAATGCACACCTGGATTGTCAGGTATTGACAGCTGTCTGTTCTTATGAGAATTATATCCGTCTTGGCTGTCTGACTCATTTCCACTCACCATGAAACGATTTTCATTTCATCCCTGTAGCAGTTAGTTTGATGTTGTTTTTTTTAACATTCTGGTGAGTGTGAGAGATTTGTTAATTGTTTTAAGTATGACTGTAGCATAAGCATATCTACTTAGTGCAGACAGAAAGGAAATTGTGCTGTATTGTTTCATGTGTTTGACATACTTGACATGGGATTTGTCGACACCTGTCTGAAAAAAGAAATTATGAAAGAGAAGAGAACAGTAAAATAAAGGTGAGACCATCTCTGCCCCAGGTGGAGACAGATGGTTTGCGGCGCTCCATCCAAAACCTGGGAGTTCTCCTCACCACAGCAGCTGTGGCTCACACCTCCGTCGCCACAGGAGAAGGCCTCCGCCACACTGTAACTGGCCAGCACATCACCATCACCGTGACAACAAAAGACAAAGTAATGTCTTTTGTCTTTGTGTACTGTCCTTCTCTTTGTGTCTCACCATGCAACCATGTGCTACATGTGAATGGTGGACTGTTGTGAAAACTTGACAACTTAATGTTGTTCTTTTTAAAGCATGTTTCTTTCTTTCAGATTGTCATTCAGATGTACAGTTTTTTTGACGTGATTTGATGTTTTAGAAGTCAGTAATGTTTGGCTTTTTGAGATGCGTTGTAACAATATACTTGAAGAAGCTGCTACAAACCAGGTTGATATTTTTATTTCTGTTCTGATGCATCTTTACTGACCATTATCTGCAGGATGGGGAGTTGGTGCGGACAGGAAATGCTGTTTTAAAAGCAGAGATAACGTCAGCCGATGGCAGCCGGGCTACAGAAACGGAGATAACGGACAATAAGAATGGGACGTATGAGGTGGGCTACACGTTACGCTCTGAGGGAGAGTACTCCTTTGCGCTGCTGCTGTATGGACAGCCGATACGCGGCAGCCCGTTCCGCCTGCGGGCGGTCAAGCCCTCAGATGTGCCGCATTCTCCAGATGATGTGAAGAGGAGGGTCAAATCCCCCAGCGGGACGGGGGGTCACATACGTCAGAAAGCAGTGCGACGTCCTTCCAGCATGTACAGCACCACAAAGAAAAAGGAGAATCCCATTGAGGATGAGCTTATCTACAGAGTAGGTAAGACAGATGATTTCAGGGACAGATGATCGGATGGAAAGCACCAAATGGCATGAGCCAAAATGCTTTATTCCTGTCATTAAGGATCGGGAATGCATTGCTTTAACTAAAGACATTTTTTTAGATTGACATGCTCCCCTTTAGGAGGAAACTTTTTTCTAATCATGTCAGTAGATAACAATGTAGTTTGTAGAAAATTGATAGATGAGGTGGCATTCAGAAGCCGACAACATGAAAATGGGGATTTTTTTCAAAATAACTGCTGAAATTTGAAGGTAGCTGGCATAAAAAATGTTCTGCACTCCAAATGTTTTGTGACTGTGTGAATAGTTAAGGAGGCAAAAATCTGAAGGTGTAACATTCTTTAGATAGTTTACAAAGCTCAAACAAATCTTTCAAGCTCGAACAGTTGTTTTAAATCAGTAGCCTAGTAGACAATCCAAAACTGATTTTATGCCTTGGAACACAAAAATCAGTATAAAGAAAGTTCTCCAAGGTTAATAAATCATTCACCAAAGGAAAAATATTGAATGTCATTGCTACTCACATTTAGTTGTTCTGTGTTAGGTACCCGGGGAAGAGACAAAGGTGAGTTTACAAACCTGCAAGGGATCTCAGCCTCCGGTAACGGAAGAGTGGTGGTGGCTGACAGCAACAACCAGTGCATACAGGTGAGACCGGCAGCCGGAGGAGGGTTTCTGTTAGAGGCAGCCCTGAAAGACACAGTGAAAACATTTCTGTACACGTACAACAGGTTATCTGATGGAATTGATTACAGGTATTCTCCAATGATGGCCAGTTCAAAATGCGCTTTGGGGTCAGGGGTCGGTCTCCTGGACAGTTGCAAAGACCAACTGGTGTCACTGTGGACATGAATGGGGACATTGTAGTGGCCGACTATGACAATCGATGGGTCAGCATCTTCTCCTCTGATGGCAAATTTAAGGTAAGAGCTCAGACAGTGCGAGTTGATTCCTATCAGGTTCAATAATGTTTTGGGGAAAATAATTATTATTAATGAAGTCTAATTGTCTACTCTATATCTTCAAGCTCTCTGTTAATACAACATATATAGCTAAATGTAAGGTTCATGAAGGCTAAAAATCTGCTCAAATCATTTTTGTTTTCCCTGTCTCAGAACAAAATTGGTGCAGGCCGTCTCATGGGTCCCAAGGGTGTGGCTGTCGATAAAAATGGCCACATCATCACAGTGGACAACAAAGCCTGCTGTGTCTTCATCTTTCAGTCCAATGGGAAGCTTGTGACTAAGTTTGGAGGCAGGGGGACATCTGATAGACAATTTGCAGGTGAGCGGGATGTGGGACATCTTAAGAAAACGGATAACAGGTGTTCTGTCAGAGAGGCAGCAATGCTACTGGCTTTTAAGATAATTCCCCTGATGCACACTTCTAGCAATTTATGAAAAATACACTGTACGTAGATAATTTAGGATCTTAAGTCTTCTGCATCGTGTTTTGCAGCACAAAAACACTCAATATAAACACCTTGACATATCTAGAAACAATTTAAATAGCCAGTTTAAGGCAGAAAGCACCTTAGAAATACTTATACAACATAACACCAAGCATGCAGTGTCCCTCTGCACCTGTACTGATCATTCTGCTCTATTTTCTCCTATGCGAACCGCTATCTTCATCTCTGACCACCTACTTCTTTCTTTCTGCTCTCCCTGTTTTCTGATTCAGAAAAACTTGGCCCAAACTTAAATAAATCTGGCTCAGTTTTCAGTAAGTACTAAGTGTGGCCTTGCTGCAACCTTAATCCCACAGTGCAGTGCCCTCTGTCTAACCCCAGATCCCTGATCATGTGCCCGCCCTCCTGAGAAGTCAGATTGTTGACAAATTAATGGATCGAGCTTGAGCAATGTTGATCAAAGAAACAAGAACACTATTTTATTTTATCTGTTTTTATTTTACTACTTTTTGTTTAGTGTGTGTATGTGTGTGTTGCTGTCGTAAAATTGTTATACAAGGATCAGCGTGAATGATTTTCTCTGTTCCCAATCATCCAATGATCCCTGTTTAAATGACCGTTTTGAACGTTGATATCCAAGGAGCTGGAGGTAGACTTATTTATACAAAAGGGAGGAGAAATAAAGCTACTCTGGATTTAATGTCTAAACCGGTGGTGAAATCGTTTGAAACTAGGAGCTTACACTAACATATGATGTAGAATACAGGAGTGATTCATCTAAGAGCCTTGATTCTCTCCATGCTTCAAATTTTTAGAGCAATGTTGATAATACTTTCAAATTTGGAGGATATATGACAAAAATGCCAAAAACTACTCCCTCAAATCAGACCAGAAATAAGATTGAGCTATTTGAATGCATTTTAACAGACTACTAACGAAGGAAAACTATGGAATTCACAGGACTCCATTGAAACAGCATCTTCCCAAATGACGACTACTCTATTTCCCTACAGGTCCACACTTTGTTGCAGTTAACAACAAGAATGAAATTATTGTGACAGACTTTCACAATCACTCTGTGAAGGTAAGAAAAAAGGGAAAGAATCTCTGTATCTAACACACTTTATGTTCAGCTCTACGTGGATTATGTCTCAACACGCTTTCAGACCCTGCTGACTTTCTGTTGCAGGTATACAGTGCTGACGGGGAGTTCTTGTTCAAATTTGGGTCTCACGGGGAAGGCAACGGCCAGTTCAACGCCCCCACCGGTGTAGCTGTGGATGCCAATGGAAACATCATTGTTGCTGACTGGGGTAACAGCAGAATACAGGTTCGCTCAGTAAACTTTATACTTTAAATATATGTTTTCTGAAAATTGGCTTGTGTTGCCATTAAACAAAATAATACAGCCGTTTCACATAAAGTCAGTTTGCAGCCTAAAAAAAGTTGTATTTCATCTAGAACTATAATTTCTTTCCATAAAGATGAATGGCTCTGAGGTTTCTGTTGTTTTTTTCTTACATATCAGGTGTTTGACAGCACAGGGTCCTTCTTGTCCTACATTAACACCTCGGCAGATCCGCTGTACGGTCCTCAGGGCCTCGCCCTCACCTCAGATGGACACGTGGCCGTTGCAGACTCCGGCAATCATTGCTTTAAAGTTTACAGATACTTGCAGTAGACCAAGAGAAGACGTCAGCAGCCCCTGCTTGTGGAAGCTCCTTTTTCACGCACCGCTTGTAGACAGAGCTGCAACCTGACTGCACTTTACAAAGGCTCCATGTCCGTTAATCAATTCCCAGCTCATTTAGCCTGTACATACTTCAAAACAAAGATGTGTTGAAAGATCAATAAAAAAAAAGAGAAAAACACAATTATCCTTTCTCGTGACTGTTACAGTGACAAAAACTGTGCTGCCCCCTAAATCAGCCCTTCTGCACCATGAGCACCAAAACTTGATTAATCAATCTGAGTTAAAAGAAAACTCAGAATATTTTCCTGTAATTTACAAGTTGTGTTGCTTAAACTGATATTATAGTAATTTAACATTCAAATACCACTTTTGACCAAATTTCCAAAATCCAATCAAAATGAAAGTCATTCCTTGTTATAAAGAATTTCAGATAAATTCCGTTAAATGTGCCCAGCAGCCGGCATTAGATAGCCTCCCAGTACAAAGCTGGTAATATCCAGCCATTATTTGGGGAAAACAGGTGGTCCACACTCTCAGCAACCAGTGAGGAGTGAGACACAGAAGCACACATAATGTTTTACTGTTGGGATGTACTCCAGCTGACACATCTTAACCCCCCCCTTATTTTAACTGCCTTATAAATGTCAGAATATACAGGAATGTGGAGTTAAATGTTTCCTTTCTCATTCACGCTGCACATTGTCACTATCATACAATGGACATTTTTGTTTACGTTCAAATCCTGAATTGATCTATATGGAAGTTGACTTATCTGAGAAAAAGAATACATCAGGACCGGCTCTGTTTTGGTAAAGATCACACATCTATTAACCAAAACAAACTTATAAAGTATGATCCAACAACCTTTTTATCTGTTCAAAACTTAGTTATATATGTATATATATGTATAAATACATATTTGCATATTTAGGTGTATATATGGATTTAGAGTCCATAATATTTGACACTAGCCTACTTATTGAAGCATTTAAACAGAATCGAGATCATGCCAAGTAGTAGCCACCTGAATGACTGAAACATCTGTGTAACAAAGGTGTACTTTATTTCTATCATAGTTCTTAATTTATTTTGTTATTCTGTGCTGAGTAATTTGTTCTACATATTATTTTTTTATTCGGTGCGTTGGAACTGCCGCCTCACTCTGCCAAACTTGCTTTTACATCGTAACTTGTAACATTGAAGATGTTTCCTTTTGCCTTTCTTTCTTATTGAGCTCTCATTGGGTTAATTGTTAGCTTTCCCTCAGCAAAAATGTACTGCTGTCAGTTGTTGTAGAACATTGCACAAAATACAAATACGAATATTCTAAGAGTTATATTGTTTGCAAGAGTAATATATGCCTATATGTATAGTTCTTTTAACATAATCAGAAAGTGTAAAGTACATTAAAAACAGATTCTTATTGTAGCTAACAGGCACCTTGATCATGGACTTGACAGCATTTGTCTTGATTATTAAGAATTTCAGTGCATTGAAGATTTTCTGTTTTTCTCCAAGATGAACAAAACACCAGCTAAACAAACTGGAACATTTTTCACATGGATTTTTATGAAAACTGTTTAACCTCAATAATCAAATTCATTCTGTCTTTCCCATTTGTGTTTCCCATCTGTGTTTCCCATTTGTCTGAAAACTCCCTGTAATGACAAAATAATTACCTACTCCATAAATGTAACCACTCTGTTACTTTTTTTCCATGCCTTTTAGTATGTGAATTAAATTAAGCACCTACAAATAAAAAAATACATCTACGACAAGTGTGAGTTCTACCGTATACCATAAGAAAACATTTGTTAGACGTAATCAGAAAACTTCTATACAATCACAAAAGAAGAATTACTGTAGTCCTTAACATGGCAAACATTTTTGCTTAATGTCCAGATTTATAAGAAAAGTATTGTTGTCAGGCATGAGCTTTAGAAAAGGATTTATCAGAGGTGGGAACTCTGGCCTGAGGAGATGCGACTCCCTCACTAAAAGACGAAAAGAAAATACAGGAATAATGGTGTTGAAACATAGAAATATATTCATTTGAAAGGCAAAGTCAAATGGTTAATATTTACAAATGATTGCTCAAAATCACATCACGTCGGCCATCACAAAACAACTGATTCTCGTGCACAGCACCTCAACATCAGGCCGATTAGGCCATAACTAACCCAACATGCGACATAGCTCCTAGTGCAGGCCTCAGTCTTCTCCCGCCTCCATTACTGCAATTCCCCTCTGCCAGGCCTTCCAACCCTGTGCTGTGAGACGCTACACATGATCCAAATTGCTGCAGTCGTTTGGTTTTCAACCAGCCAAAGAGAGCACATATCGAACCCCTGTTCACTGAACTCCATTGGCTTCCCTTAGCTGGCCTACAAACCACCCTACAAGCACCATCAGGGCATGAAATTACCTTTCCTCCTTCAAGAAATACTTGATAGACCCAGCTTTTGAGAGAGTATCACTTGTCCTGAAAGCTCTAAATTTATTTCCTGATAGCATGTAGCATTCGATGTATGGTACTTGTGTAATCTGTCATGATCAAATGTTAAATCCCAAATGTTAAATCCTCTTCTAGCATAATGCACTCAAGGTAACGTAGTGTGTAACTGGTGTTGTAGTTGAAAGTTAAACCCTCTTTTTGTAAGTCGCTTTGGATAAAAGCATCTACTAAATGCATGAATGTAAATATAAACCAGTGATCGAGTGGAGCTCATGTAAGAGTCTTAAACAGTTTAACAAGGCCATCGGCTGCATTCAATCCGCATGCTCAGTATTAAAGTATTAGTTACAAGCATGAGCCTGAAAAATAACCCACAATAACTTTTCTGCTGATCAGTTTCCCCAGAACTAACAAGTCTACCAAAATCCGCAATTTCAAAACTATATCTGTTGCACATTTGTGTTACGTTTACTCATCTATATAGCTCCCCGATGAGCCACATTTAAATAAGAGTTGCAGAAGACTTCGCAACTGAGTCATTACCAAACCAGGATGAGATGGAAAAAACTGTTTTCTCACCTCCTTCTTTAATGCTTCCGACAAGAAAAATCCGGAGAAACACCCAAGATGTCTGCTAGGTGAATAAAATGAGGTTCATAATAGAATACTGATCTGGCCAGTCAAACAATAAAAAAAAAAAAGAAAATATGTTAAATATTCACACAAGTGTTAGTATTAGTTAAACTGTTATTAGAAAAAGGAATAAAACAGCAAAAATGAAGAGTATTCATCCTGTTTTAATCTCATCAAAAAGTCTGAAAAACACTCAGCATATTTATAGCAGATAATGGAGCCCCTAAAGTGCAACTTTAAAAGGCACAAACCAAACAGTTAAGCTGGATACATGAATAAAACACAGTAATAAGATGGCAACGTGTTCAGGGAAGAGAGGCCTCTCGAAAAAAAAAATTTTTGCAATGACATTTCATCTCTGAAGATGAAAACAAAAAAAGATTGCCAGTATGGGCAGTCATTAAAAACTAAAAATAATTTGACATGACGACATCAGCTTTAAATCCATATTAAAAGTAAAAAGCTTCTCAGAGATATAACAATTTAATTAGAATCAAATAAAGCAAGAAAGATGTAGATAAAGGCCAAGGAACTTGTAGAAAACATGCATTCAGCAATCAAGTTAATGGAAGTAAAACCAGTAACAAGAACAACAATAAAAAGATGCCTTCTTCCAGCACTCCATAGGGTTTTATTTCAGTCATACCCAGCAGGCTCATGCTGTGAATAGTTGGATGTTGATGGAATGTCTCACAAGTAAAAACAAAACAAGGGACCACATTTTGTAGTTACCACACTGGAACGTTAGAGTGAAAGTTATATTGTCACAAAAAGTAACTTATCAGTCAGGGGGACTGCATGTATAGGATAAAAATAATGATAATAATAATTAAAAAAAAATTAAAAAAAAAAAAAAAAATAGATAAACAAGACTTTAAAACGATTGCAGGTAAAATTCTGGTGTTCCCAAACAGCCATGTCAGACATTTCACACCCTGACGTCTGAATATCTTCTGAAAGCTGAATTCCAAATTTACTGTTTACAAATATCAATGTGACAATTATGCCATATCTTCTATAAGTTCTACCCAACACAAACCCTACCAAGCGCAAAAAAACAAACAAAAGAATTAAAATGAACTTTGTGTGAGGAGGACTAACTGCTCAAACACGAGATTATCTGAGGCATGGGGACAGCAAAGCACCTCTCCACTCCCCCGTGACACGGTTCAGGGGTATGGGACTACAGTGTGTGTCTTACTCTGGTTGGTAGGATACATGTTTAGCATTTGTGTCCTGTAGACCTTTTTTTTCCTCCTTAAAAAGCAGTAAGACCAACACGTTACAGCGTAAATGCATACAACTACTGGCTCTGGGGGTAATACCGCCCCAGCACACCAGCCTGACCTATGAGGAAAAAAAGCCTTGGCAACAGGCAAATCTGAAAGCATGAACGGACTCTTCAAAAACAATTAGGTGTTACCACTACCACTACAAAGCCCTCAGTAATAGTGGCATATTTGCATCCTGCTGCCTGGATCATTCTTTCCTGGGCTGAAGAAAGGGTAGACGGCCTCTTCAAAGCAGGTGTCAAACATGAAGAGTCTCTTCATTGTCACCGCGTCATAGAAACTGAGGCGCCCGTTGTCGTAGTCCAGGTACACGCCCACACGAGGGGAGTTCCAGTAGTCGGCAACGGGAATGCGCCCGTCCTCTATGTTGGCGTAGAGGCGGTCCTGCAGGCACAGGCTCCAGTATCCTGCGGAGGGGGTGAGGCTGACGAAGCCCTTCCTGTTGCTACACTCTGTGGTGACCCCCAGGTACCACACACCTTTGTCCCGCACGTCCACCTCCCAGTAGTGCTGACCGCTGGCGTACTGGGCGGTGGCCAGGACGCCGCAGAAGCGATTGAAGCGACCCGGCAGGTCCGGCTCCTGGCTACGGACGCGGCCCTCCTCCACTTTGGTATCAAAGTCTGAGATATATAGGTTCTGGTGAGCAGTGTCTGGGTCTAAGGTGAGGTTCTGAGGCACTACACAGAGAGACACAAAAGGATTAGTCAACCTCCACAGCTCACTTCTTCAGGAGCAGGTTAGCTTTCTGCTCCTAGACAGGAAACAAGAGACATTAACATGGAAATGTTCAGCCTGGAGTAGCTGGCAGTGAATTTGGGAAAAACATCATTTTCAATCCCGTGTAAACAGGCTGTCCACCCAGCTTAGTCAATTTTACAACAAGTTTTCCAGTCGGAGTAAAGTAATTATCTGGGTGTAAATGTGTGTCCTTCAAACTGCATGGTTTGTTTTGTCTGATCGTCACTTTCAGGTATGTTCGGCATGCTTCTTTTTTTTTTCTTCTGTAAACCCAGCGGGCACTTACTGGTGTGCAGCACATGCATCATTTTCTTCCACATGATGAGCTGAAAAGGGCCTGAGAAGTCAATGAAATCTGTCGGACAGTTAACTGGTTCGAGGGGTGAGAAGGGCTTGCAGTGAATGGCTCTGGAAAATATGTGGAACAAAACTGTCAAGGCTGCTTTGGTTTCAGAATCTGGTAATAATTAAAAAAGACAAACGAGAGAAGCTACTTACTCATTGAAGGTTTCAGCAAGCCTCTGTAGATGAAGAAAATAGTGAAAGACAGCTGTCACACATTTGCTTTTACTCATAATGTACATTTAAAACATTAAAAACAACATTCACTGTTTAAGCTTGTCCAACAATAACAGGACCATCACAACAGATATGTTCCATTTCTCCAGTAAGTCATTTAAACATTTATATCTTATGTTTAACTAACCTCAAAGCTAGTCTTTCCACTCATGTGGCTGTGAATATCTGTGATGGCTTTGTCCACGGCTGCCGCCTCCATCTCCACAGTTTTCAAATTGTCTTCTATGACGGCCATGGTTGCCACTTCCTCAGCATCCAAGCTTTCCAGCAGCGAATCTCTCTCATCAAGTAAAAATTGGACCAGGGCACCAACATCTGCTTCAATCTTCTCTTTGAGTCTCTGCTTCCTCAGCTGGAAGACAGGAAGGTTTGGACCATTGGAGTGTGTAACATGATAAGATCCTCTCTGGAGCTGAATTAAACTTGGAAGGAATTGGTCAAAATCAGGGCACATGTTGGAAATGTTCAGAGGTTAACACGAATCCATGGCCTGGCCAGCAAAGATGCTTTTTTACATACCCGCAGATCACTTTTAGTGCGTTCATCTGATGTTCTAACTTTGACACATTGAGATTTTTGCCAGTTGAGCTCCATAAGCCTCAGCTTTAGCTCCATCTGTGACACACAAGCATAAAAAAAATACTCAATCTACATGCAGTAAACAGTGATTTATATAATTGCAATGTCTCTGTTACAGTTGTTGTTTCATAAGACAAATTCACAAAGACTCATGTATTTAGTCTTAACCTTCATGTCCTTCACAACTTCTGGCACCGGTGCCACGTCATGGTGTCTGAAACAACAGAAGAACAGACACGCAGTCACACTAAAACCTCTTTCCCCAATCACAAACCCACTGTGCCTTTCTGACACCAATGTTTCACTTAGTCATTGTTCATCAGACCCAACTGGGATTTTAATGACAATCTTTCAGTAGATTCAAGGGGAGCAGAAATGTCCATTTACCGTTTTCTTACTTTTGTCCTTGCGGCATTCCCTCCACTGTTTTGGCTCACCCATCCCCCATAACCTCCCTTTCACTTCATTTGACATTTTGGGATAATTACAATGTGTGATTGTTGTACTATATGATCCTGTAGATGTGATGTAATTTTCTGAGTGACATCCCTTTTTGAATTAGGAAAAAGGCCCTTTCAGTGGGGTCAAACCACTCAACAACTCTACAAAATGAGGTGAGGTTAGAACCGACCTGTGTGCTCTTGATTCCCTGCAGACAACACAGATGAGTCTCTTATCCGTTTGGCAATAAAGTTTCAGCTCTTCACCGTGTTGTTCACACTTTCCATCGACGTTAACGGGCTTTGAGGGCGTAGAACAAGATCCCAAACGCTCCAGAACATCCAGTTTGGCCACCAAGTTCTGCACCAGGTAGTTTTTAGTGAAGCTCCTTTTGTTGAACACCTGAGGAAAACAATAACGTAAACGGAAAAATATATATACTGTTCTCTGCCTAAGGCAGAGGTGGGAGAGAACAAAAAGCACGGCTTGCTAACTGCGGCTTTGTTAGCATTCGTTAGATAACAGCAACTGTAGCCGCAGCCAAAACAAGATCTTTTTTTAAATATCAACTTGCCAACCACTATTTTCTAAAACAAACACTACGTAGTTACAGTTACATCACAATGCAATGTAACTGTCTTTGCTGACGTGGTGAACCACAACTGCAAGGACTTGGCTAATGCTAGCAAACATTTAGCCCCCAAACACGACAGAAAATGCAGAGACCGTGCACCAACTTACCGTCCGACATTGAGGACACTGATAGCCATAGTCTCCGCCATTTTCATCCCAGTGCATGCTAATGCAGAAGCGACAGAAATTATGCCCGCATTTCAGTATGACGGGGTCTTTGAAGAAGTCCAAACAAATTGCACATGTGAGCTCTTTCTTCAGGTCGTCTCCAGCTGCTCCAGCGGTCGCCATGTTTACAAGCCTACGGGGGGGAACTGTGTCAACACTGCTGCCAACCGCAGGAAGTGAGGGAAGATGCGAGAGAGCAACGGGCACATTTACGATGCGTCATCTTCCCTCTCAACCAATCAGATGCCAAGCACGTACCTCCATTCAGGCAGAGGGAAGTGGCATCCTTAACGCTCGACTTGCAACCACTTACTGTCTATGCATTTTTTATTTGTATTTGTTTACGAATGTAGTAAACCAAAACACAATCCTTGGCTATGTAAGCGGTCTTGTATCAAGATACTGTTTTAAATGAAGCCTAAAAGGTCACGTTAGCATTCATTCTGCAAAAATACATAAATAATTAAGGCTAACTTTCAGGTGCAGATGTCATAGCCATGTTAAAAGTTGTACTTGACTGCGTCACCAATTTACTCAAACCATTTAGTAACTTATTCATTTTATAAATTCTAAGCCATTCTGGTCTGTCACTGCTTAACACAACACTGCACCTCTTCCTCTTATTTGCATTGTGGATGAAAGGTGCAGCAATTTTGACTTGCAGTGAAATAAACAATATTTTTCATCCCTGTATTTTCCATAAGGATAAAAAAGCCACTCCTGAGAGTAGGTATAATCTGCTGAAAATATTGGACAATTTATCTACAAGGTAAGAAAAAAAGTAACATTTTATATATTGAACACAAACAAAGAAAATGGAAAAAAATCCAATATTTCAAAGAACTGAAGTCCAGTCAGATGTTATGTTTTAATATCTGTGCTAAATTAGATTCAAAATCTTAACTTAAATTGAAACTTAAACTTAAAATGAAAATAAAAAGATTTGAAAACCAATGGAAATAAAAATGCTTACAAGCACCAGTAAACAATATTTATTCTAATACATATACATAAAAATCCATTCATAAAAAGACACACAAAGTGAATATTTGTACACATTTGATTGTTTGTGCTAACTGTTGTATAGATGTGGATGATAGGCTGTGGAATATACATAACTTTGCATAGCTTGTATAGGCAAGTGAAGGATCTGATGCGATAAGGTACATTTGATAGTGATATTTCCAAATTCACCAGGGCCATATTAATAAAAAAAGACAAACAAAAGATTCCAGCTGGGTTTCAGTTGACTGTAAAATCCTCACATCCCCCACTGATTCAGCTGGCTAACCCTGATAAATATCAGATATAATTATACAGTGATGACTAAGAGCACCATGAACACGTACGAGGAACATTGATCTCAGCATGTTGTATAATCACAGCAGAGTAAGACACAGGTTTAACAATACACACAAACTATAATTTTTCACCAGTGATAACAAAATTATGAGATGATTGGCTAAAATGTGTTGATAGTCAATGTGAAGTGCAAGCAGCTCTATTTTTTGCACCATTTGACAGAAAAAGACAAAAATAGGTGAAAAACACCAGTGACAAATGAAGCTGGGAGGAACATACTGTACGTGAGAAAAACAGGGGTGAAATTCCTGGATGTTTACATATTATTTGCATGTTAACAGCATCAGTCTTCTTTGTAATGTAACTCAGGGAATGTAAAGATATTAGAGAGACAGTTGCAGAACAACACACAGCCCATCCCTACTCTGTAAAATAAATAACTCCTGAGTGTCCATATGCATTCATACCTTGGCCAGTGTTTTTACATCTGGCTCACTGTCTAATGATAACAAATGTGAAGATGTGAAAATACAAAACACTATGTGGATTAACAATACTGAACATGGCACATCAAGCTGTAAACACGACAGAGTCAATAAGTGAGTAACCAAAAATTGGAGTACAGTAATACAAAAATCTCCTCATATGTGAGAAATTCATTTTTCAGCAGCAAAAAAAAACAAAACAACATTATTGAGAAACATTCCTCGTGTTACAGTGTGTAGAGTAAGATTAACAAAACAAATAAAAGTAGATACGATTTAAAAAATGCTGCTTGGCTGGTTAAAAAAAATTAACTCCGCTAATAGTTGTGTTCATTTCCAGGAGAACTTGAGTGTACTGATAGGAAACAAACGCTGACAAATTGTCAATGTGTTTTCCTTTATGGATTGTATAATCTAGAATGACTGGCCTGGCAAATACATCATGTCAGATTCTTGTAATCGTGCAGCATGGTTGCAGAAGATCAAAATGTACCATCATGTGCTCATTGTGAAAAACAATGTCATTCTCTGCCAGCGGGTCAAAGTTGCACCTCTGAGACAGAACATTTCTTTTACATCTATAATGTTTTCAGCCAAGTTTCGAAAATACATAAAATATTAAATGACGTATGTTAAGAAATCATTTGCAGGCTGTAGAAAAGTTTGCAAAAATGACCATCAAGTTTCTACAGCTCAGTATGATGTTGACTATCATAGTCAGAACATCCGTCATAGTTGTTCTTTGTTAATGCAGATTATGTAGTGTCCTTTGCCAGAGGTACACCTGGAGCACTAAATATTGGATTTGGAGTGCAGTAATGTTTTCGACTGCAGATTCTTTTCCAGATAATATCAACTGTCCTGAACTAAGTTTCTTCAGGCACTTTAATACCATAAGCCAGCAAAACAGACAGGAAATGCCATGCTACTCGCTGCGCGAGTTATAATGATGAATAAAAAAAACAGCAAATAGTTGTGGCGTGCTGTTTGCTCTTGAATTTATTCTGTAATGTATAAATATGTTCCTGTAACAGGCACACATAACAGATTTGATCTAATTTTCTGGTTTTATGAAAGAAATTCAATATAAGTAACAAAAAAAAAAGAAAACAGGGGAAAACATTTAGAAAACCCCCTCCGCATACCCCATATGTCCATGTGTCCATCCACGCATCGATTGCTCAAACCTCTGAGCTGTTGTGACAGTCTTGCATCCTCACCACCAACATGGGCTCAGCACTCACAGATCCTTTCACCACCTCCTGTACCCCCTCCCTCCACACCTCCTTTCCATCCTTCTGTCTTGATCTCAGAACCAGTGCGATGGTGACAATAATTAGGACAGTCAGCAGAAAGCCCACCAGTGCCCCAACCACAGTCACCAGACCCTCATCTTCCTCCTCTGCATTCAGCTCACTAAGCTCCTGCCCTCCGGCAAACAGCTCATTTGATCCCCCTGACCTCCTTTTAGTACGGTCCAAGGCGATGTGCATGATATTGGTACCGCGGTTGTTGTCTATTCCGATATCTTCAGCAATTGCTGGGATTTCATCGCCTGCTGATCTTCTAGAGCGATGGCCTTTTGCATTAGATGACACTAAGGCGAGCTCATCGCTTGTTGAAACAAAGGAGTGGTACTCCAGGCTGCGCTTTCCAATGCCCCTGTTGGCGTTCTCTTTGGAACGAACCGTGTAAATGGTGTGTATGTACCATTCGCGACCAGCAGCAACCTGAGAGAAATTAAACAAAACTTAATTTTCAATATTTAGAGCAGGTATAACATAACCGGTCTGTCCCAAGTCTGGCATGTGACATTTGTTAAATGAACAAAATGCAAACAGAACTAAGGAATTACAGTTTGTTCACGTTAACAGCACTCCATGTGATTGGTTATAGTAAGATCGTAGATCAAGAAAAAGATTTTGTCACTGTATTTTACTACTGTAGCTCATAAGCTATTGAGCACAAGAAATGTTTATTTACTGTATACCTGAAACATGGCTGTAGAATCAATTCGGAAGCCATCAGACCCTGGTTGTCTGACAAGAGACATAGCTGATGGATCATCTGCTGCCAGCACAGCATTAAAGCTGACATCACCAAACACACGGGCCTGAGTCTCTGGCTGAGCCTTGTCCTGGTGAGGGTTAAGTACAGAAACATAACACAACTAAGACACTTCCTCCTTGATTCCAGACTTAAATGTCGCAAAAATACTCACAAGAATCTTGAATCTATAAAGCAGTGACGGGGAGTCAGCCAGACAGCCAAACTCAAACTTGGTAGGGTTATATTTTGGTACATATCCATCAGCACCAGTACAGAGGAAAACCTTCTCTATGCTGCAGAAGAAAGAATCTCCCAGATTCTGCACAGGATCCACCATGACGCGACCATAAACTGTATCACCTGAAAAAAAGGGAAGAAGGGGTGAAATATGACTTGTTTTTGTTTTTTTAGTTCGTAAATGGCAAATCTATATATTGTGCTGCCAACGAAAGACCAAATGCATTTCCCTTTATTGTTTTCTACATTTGAAATATCCACTAATTTAAGTTCAAGTCAATTTCAAATGTCAGGAAAAAACAAAACAACGAATAATTAAACAGTAGAAAAATGCAAAATTTTACCCTCAGAAAATGCCACGTCACTTTCTTGACCGAAACCCATTGATCCATCAGAAAGCCATAAGCTTTTCTTGGACAAGAGGAACATTTGTGTGTTCAGACTGAATTCCACTGCAACTGGATCACTTACCTAAACAAGTAAGATAGTAGATAGTAAGTTTGTGAGGAACAGAGGGAGCTGCAGATAAAACAGGATCTTCTTTAGTAAAACTGTCTTACTTGCTGGAATCTAATGTCAAGATCAAACGTGACTGGGTCCCTAGGACTACAGATGGGTGGAATTGTGTATTCCATGTTCTGGGCTGTTGTACAGGGGATCAACTTCACCGTGTAGGTTCCAGAATAGTCTCTCACCTGTATGGGACACATTTGAAATGACCTGTTAAAATACACTCGTCTTTCTGGCGTCTCCATTTCAGGATAATGAAAATTGATATCTCTGTGGTCTTACTGCAAAGTCTGAGGTGAAGGTCCACTGCTGGACTGGCTGGTTATAAGTGGGCTCACTCCTCACTAAGGTGAGGTTAAATGTCAGGCCAGGGTGGTCCACACTCATCACCACGGATGACATAGAGGTGGCTGCAGAAATGTTGGGATAAGTTTAGAAAAGAAAACTTATCCAAAGATCAAAGGTGCTCACTGTCAAAAAGGTCTCCACGGAGTTTCAAAGCAGATATAAGTACAGAATCCATTTGTCTCACCAGCTCTTTTAATTCTGCCCGAAGAATGAGAGTGTACAAACAGACCCTTGAAATGAGCCTTTGTACGGA